GGGAAAAGGTAACTTTGATTGAAAAAAACTATCGCTTTCAAAAAATTGATTTGACGCCAATATGTAAAAGTGCTGATTGTACACAGGTTGTAAAAAAAGGTTATTTTCCAATGATTACAAAAGTGCACAGACATTGTAAAGGTTGTAGGAGTGAACTGTTTTATACTCTGGGGTTGCTGGAGCTCCAGATAAGATTTTACATGCAAAAAAACAAACAAATAATTTCTCGAAGACAGTTAGCACAGGTGTGATGTAGTAAGTAGAAGACCTTACTCCATCTTTGTCAACGCTTCCTTCATAATCATCTTCATCACTGGAATGAGGACAGTCTACCTGGACAAGCGTTTCTTATCTTACCCTGTAGGAGCTAAAATGTGATTATTTCACCACTAGAGGACGATGTGCACTGTGGTGAGTAGATGTAGCTCACCTGTTCAACATCACATATTAACCTTCCCTTGAGGATGTATTGAACAGGTACGGGGGAACATATGGTTCTTAGCTCCACATGCTTTTATTGTAAATGTTGTTTGTTCATTAAATTAACCAGTCAAGAAATGGACATCGCTTTGTAGACATTGTTTATTCCAACCTGAGTCAACAACAATTACCCCCCTGCCATGGCTTATAGCAGGGATCCACTTTCCTGCACAGTTTAGCTCTAACCCTAATCAAACACACCTGAGCATGCTAATCAATGTCTTCAGGATCATTAGAAAATCACAGGTAGGTGAGTTCGAGTAGGGTTGGAGTTAAACTATGTAGCGCATTGGCCCTCCAGGGCAAGATTTGAGGAACCTTGGCTTATAGGAAAGCCACTTCATACCCATTACTTCTTTATTTGGCTTCTGCAAAAGCAGAAACCCACATGTAAAAAAAAATTTTGTTTACAGTGTTTACTTCTGATTTATCATTCAGAAGTAGAAGAATCCTTATGAACATTAGTAATAGAAATAGTTCACTTAAAAACTGTAAAAATGCTACCGTAAAATGGGTTAATAATAATATTAAGAGGCACACCGACTGGCAAACTGTAATGTTTTAATTGGGAAAATTATTTAGAGATGCCATTATTTCTAGCATGGATGGACAAAAACGTTTAAATTAGCCTAGGGTGGAGCTAGGACGGGCCTTTTCACTCTGTATGTCACTTTAATTGTAAACAATAATAATAATAAAAACATTAAAACCTACAAAATATTAATATGATTAAGCATGTAGCCTAATGCCTATATTTAATTCTAGGCTACAAGTATAAACAGTTGTATTACTGGGGGAGGAGTCAATTATCCTAAACTCAGGTACTGCGCGAATTAGCGAAGAGCGCAGTCATAATGGAA